TTTCATCACCCTCCTAATTGTAGATGGTGAGCAGGCATTGAGGAGATGAGTTACCACAAAATTCCCAGTCTCTGATCTGCTCAATAGCCACAGTATTTATGTGGTTAGTCAATAAAGATTATGGTCAATTGTAACAACCTGCATGTTGATGGCTGGAGATTCAGCAATGATAAATCCATTGAATGTCAAGAGAAGATGGTCTTGTTGGAGATGGCCAGATCCTTCCAATGGAAATTGTGTGGCAATGAAAGCTACCTGTCACTTAATCAGCCCAAACCTGAACTTTTTCCATGTCTCGCTATAAGATGGTAAGGACTGCTTTGAAATAACCCCACCGAGGCCAGTATCTCATCAACAAGTCACCCTTTATTTACACATGCATAGTACTTGACGCTGGTCTGGATTCCTCAGAGCCAGCTCTCAGAGTGAGCAGAATCTCTGTCAGTTCTGTTTATATCTGTCAGTTGGCTCCCCGATTGGACCAGGTTAACAGCCCCAACCAGGAGCTCATATTCTATGAGGTCCATCTGGTTAGTGGTGGTGTTCCTATGTGTTTGCTGCCCTTTCTACATGCCAGAGGTTATTTGGAAGTTGCTCTCCAAGTAGCCTTGGCATGTTGCTGCAGTGGATCTCGTAGATGTCATTACTGTCACTATGCCAGTGATGAAGTAAATGTTTAAGGTGCTGGTTGAGGTGCCAATCAAGTGAGCTGTTCTGTCCTGGAGTCGTACAGCATGGAAACAGGCTCATCAGCCCAACTCGTCCATGCCGACCAGGTTTCCTAAACTATCCCATTTGCCTGCATTTTGTGCACATCCCTCAAAACCTTTCCTATTCGTGTACCTGTCCAAATGTCTTTTAAATGTTTTAATTGTACCTGCCTCTACTACTTCCTCTGGCAATTACAATGGCTACAGCTTCATTTTCTGAGCAACTGTAGATATGACTGAAAACTATTTGTGAAATCCACAACTCTCCCTGGGATGTGTCTTTGTTCCGTGTTGTCTCCTCATTCTAAGAGTTATTGATTTATTTTGGAACATCACATCATCACGGTGATTGTCCTCTTGTACATATCCGATATTCTTCATATGTGATCTCCACGCTGAGTGCATTTTTTTTGCATTTTATTCTGATTTCCATATTTAGTTTACTTTCTGGCATCACTCACTGAATAACGGTAATACCCTTGGGTTTCTTTTTTCTCTCTTTAACTAGTAGCTGAAGTCAACTGAAGTACACCTACAACAAAGAGGCCAACGTGCTTGAGTTGTTCATGATATGTATGGCTCAGAACCACGTGTTGTACATTTTATAATGACAGCCTTCAGAATCTAGTTATCATAGAATAAAAGAACCTCCATAGTACAGAGGGAAGCCATTTGGCCCATCAAGTCCACACTGACCGTCCAAAGGGCATCCCACCCAGACCCAGTCCCAGCCCACTACCGTATCCCATATTCAATAACCCTGCATTTCCCATGGCTAATCCATTTGGCCTGTGTATCTTTGGACTGTAGAAGGAAATTGGAGCACCTGGAGGCAACCCATGCAGACATGGGAAGAAAGTGCAAAATCCACGCAGGCAGTTGCCTAAGGCTGGAATTGAACCAGGTCCCTGGCGCTGTGAGGCAGCAGTGCTAACCAGTGAGCCACTGTGCTGCCCATGCCATGCAGTGATGAGTTGATGATGTTTACAGACATATTCTGCTTTTAAAGGTGCAGCAACTTCACAGACAATAGTGCAAAAATAATTGTAAATCTGGTTAAACCTGTCATGGTGGATTCCATCTTTTTGTGAATTAATGTTACTGCTGCATACATTTCTGTAGTCGTGTTCTGGCAACCAGGTTAACCAGCAATTGAGTCTCCAATTGTAAGGTGTAATTTTGATCACTTGCCAATTAAAACGTATTAATTAATGTTTAGTAACCAGTTTAGAAATTGGCATTGATGCAAATATACTCCATTGGAGAATTTGTTGTATCATATCTGCAGGGGTTTACTAAATATGTATGATTTGCATATTAATGTGATCAATGTTAATCAGAATTGTAGGCTAGAAGTAACCATTTTTCAAGTGGTTTATGCTTGTGATGTGTCCTTCTGCAGAATTATTGGAAGTTTGGTTCTGGTGCTGCTCAGAATAATCTTGATAGCTTTTAGATACTCATGCCTTCTGGTTGAAAGTCATCTGTTATAGTTAGTTGTATTTCAGAATTGTTGGAATAGAACACAGCTAAACCTGTAACAAATAACAGCAATTCAACAATGTATTACCTTTTTATATTTGTTTGATCTTTGCTGCTGAAGAGTTTAATTTACCACTGGAGTTTACATTTCATTGTGAACACAAAAGTGGTCATTCCGATAACGTGTCCCATCCAAATCTGAACATGACTTTGTCTCAGCATAATGTTTCAGCTATCACAATGTCCTAGGCTTAACCTATCACCATCCCTGGCTCAACTCGGGACAGACCTATTAGTGATAGTGGCTCAATGGTGTATAGTCAGGACAAAATGGGCTTGGGAGTCCTCAACATTTAAGTCTCATGACATTAGGTCAAATTTAAGTGAAGAATAAGATAACAGTGTGGAGCTGGAGGAACACAGCAGGCCAGGCAGCATCAGAGGAGCTGGAAAGCTGACATTTCAGGTCAGGGCGCTTCTTCAGAAAAATTTCTGAAGAAGGTTCCCGACCCGAAACGTCAGCTTTCCTGCTCCTCTGATGCTGCCTGGCCTGTTTTGTTCCTCTAGCTCCACACTGTGTTATCTCAGACTCCAGCATCGGCAGTTCTTACTATCTTTAAGTGAAGAAATCTTCTGCTGCTTAGGTGATGAGTGTTCATATTAAGATCCTACTGTTAGAATTATCAGTCTTCGTCCAATTAGA